TGCATTCAATTTTCTAACTCGTCTGCTAGATGCGTTTCTTGGCGCCACGCAGGCTCGAGTTTCCGCAACTCACGAGTTTTTCATGGACCATGAAACGTGGGATGAGTTGATAGGGTGGACCATGGACATTTGATTCCGCAGGGTGCTTTCCATTTAGGCAGAACTGGCAGGCCAGTTCGCTCTATTTTGAGGTATATAATGCTTTTTGTCAACAGGTTTCAGTTATTTCGAGGTTTTCTATAGAATGAATGCTCTTAGGCCTCGACAGCGTGTTAAATATATTCTTTTGAATTTGTAGGAATGTGAGCAATGCAAACATTGATATGAATAGTCTCATTTGTCAAATTCAAAAGAATAATTAACTTGCTATCGAGTGCAACTGAAAAGCTGTATTTGAAAATTTGAATTTCCTAACTAAATAGGAGTGGTATACAATGACATTTTCTCTGGGTCTGGCCAGCCAGTTCTGACAAATGGAAAGCGCCCGCAGTCCACATATTTCCGTGAGCCATAATGTTTTCATGGTACATGAAATGTGATTTCTGTAGTTAACGACAAGTAGTTGTCAATCAGCAGAAATAATTTAACTTTATTGGACTGACCTTTTGATGGGGATATCCAGCCTTCTGAAGGTCTGTCAGCGAGTCGGCCAAAACCTGATGAAAAACGGGAAGAACTGATATCTACCGTATACACCTCTCAACAAACGTTGTCGTCGCCATGATACAGCCCACAGTCTTGAGCCTGCAAAGAATCTCGGGATTGCCATATATAATATATGCACTTTCAGTTATTCAAAATTCTTTGTTTTGTAGCAAATGTAGCTTTGAGCTCATTGACGGCTTGAAAACGTGCAACATTTTTTAAGGAAAATGTCTCATGGCGAGACCGCAATAGTATATAAATAGTGTTTGCCGCCATTAAAACCACATAGGTAAAAATATCTTTTGAATATGTTAATTAAGCATGGAAATCCCGAGATTCTTTTTAAGCTCAAGACAGTGGAGAGTGTCCTTGTGACGACAACGTTTAGGTGTATTTTTACGTAAAGGTAACACACCCGTAGTTTGACTCTATTTTTATTACAACTCCATGTACTCATTAGCCCGGGTTCACTGTAATAAAACAAGTAGGATTAAGAACCAATTCTGTGTCTTTAAGTACAAATCTCACCTTGTAAGCCATTGTTTTACCACCCATAGGATCACCAACGATCATAAAACCATGACGTACTATCATCATCTCATACACCTGACCAATCAAACACTTTGTTAGTTATATGTCCACAGATTGTACGCGCTTTATGATTGGCTAAGAAACATTCTTTAAAATTCACCTGGATGATCTTCTTAATGAACCAATCAGTGGCCTGTAAATTACGTAGCTTGCAGTTTTCTCTCAGTGCTTCCAATAGCACACCATAATCAGGATTAGGCCAGTTAGTACCAGGAAACAAGTCAGAAATAATACCCTGGAATAGTGGTACGTCCTAACAACATATGCACCAGATAACATACGTTATTTTTTTAATTATCACTAGGAATNTCCTTTTTATTTGGTCGTGAATGATAGGTGAGTTTAAAGCCTGATTTTCACTACGCTATAAGCATAAGGGGTGTTGAATCGTTTACGTCATTTCCCGTATACGCAATGCCTTGTTTGGGACAGAATTTGTTTGGGACAGAACATGGCGGATCTCCTTTGTTTTATCGTGAAACCAATCCCATAATGCATTGAAAATCAATTGGTGACGTAAAAAGGTTCAGAAGTTTATCAACATCACTTATTTATGCATTTTATACGTAAAGCAATTGGACCATCACCTTGAGATTGTCAGGTAGTTCTTGTCGACCTGCATAACCGGGGTTCATTGTAATAAACATTGTACAGGTAGGATTAAGCACCAACTCCGTGCCTTCAAATAAGAACCTTTTCTTGTGYGCAGCRATGGCTTTTTGAATGGTTGCGATCTGCTGAGCYACCACAGACAATACCTGTAATAGACAATGAAGATTTTAGAACGATGGGCTGCCTGTGCAACAGGATTTTTAGWYKCGGTCACGCATTACACAACGCTTTGTGASGAGACAAGAGGTACAGAAGGACAATAAGCAATTTRCATAAAGATGACGCAWRTAATTTACCTCGAGTTCAATTCTATTGAATTCATCAAAACACGCCCAAGAACCAGCTTGAGCAAGACCCTTGAAGAACTTGCCCATGGCTTTAAAGTCAAGACCATCTGAACAGTTGAAGACAACACACTACACAAAACAAGYGAAGAAATATATGCATTAGCATAAGCGGAAGCATAAAGAAATTGTCTACCTGTAATATCATAAACAGAAGCAGAAACACAAGAAAAAGACGTTTCCATTTCTTTAGTGTGAACCAACGCAACATAAGAAGTTCTTATGCCAAGTGTGAATCAGCTTCTGTTTATGCTTATGTCATG